CCTAAGTAATAGGCCAGCTTTCCTTTTCTTTAATACTAATACACAGAGTTGGCAAGATTGTTGTGAAATGACTGTCAGCCACTCAAAGGGGGAGATCCTGAATAGAGTGGGAGAACAATGTGAAACAAAACTCAAAATCATAGAAAAAAAAAAAAAACAGGGACCAGGTTTGCTGGTCTGATAGAGCCTGGTGGAACCACTGAGACTATGACCCCTAGCTGCCCTTCAGGTCTGGAACTGAACCCACTCCTGTGGCTTCCAGCCAAACAAAAGACAGGCATATGTGCTGAACATTTACATTAGGTAGATACACGCCTTGGAGAAATCAATCATGGGAGAATAGAAGGGCTGTGTATGCACAGGGAGACAGCTCAGGGGGCAGGAGTGCATGGAGGGATGGACACAGGGAAGAGTTAACTATGGGAAGAAGTGGGAGGGGAGCTGTTGTATTGTGGGAAATTACAGTCAATGTCATGAGACAAAGTGTATGTGAACTCTATGGAAAATGAATTTGCTCTGTAAACTTTCATCCAAATCACAATAAAATTTAAAAAAAGAGAGAGTGTTGTGAATGCATTTTCACAGAAATTGGTACAACAGATTTAGAGGTCAATATTTGTGTTTTTTAACTGAACATACAACTTCAAAAATGTTTTGTTAATGATTCTTTGATATCATGATTCTTAATGGCTGTAAGGGAGCTCTGGTAGCATAGTGGCTAAGACACTTGCCTGCTAACCAGACGGCTGGTGGTTCAAACCCACCAGCCACTCCTCGGAAGGAAGGTTGGGCAATCCTACTTCCGTAGTGATACTGCCTCGGAAACCCAAGGAGGGGTCGCTATGAGTCAGGGCTGACTTGACGGCACATAACAACAACAACAACATGGCTATATAAAGGAGCTCTGGTGGCACAGTGCCTAAGGCATTTGACTGCTAACCAGAAGGTTGGCGGTTCTAACCCACCAGTTGCTCCATGGAAGGAAGATGGGACAATCTACCTCTGTAAAGATTTACCACCTTAGAAATCCAATGGGGGTCACTATGCATTGGAATCAACTCAATGGCAGTGGGTCGGGTTTGGTTTTTGGATGACTACGTAAGGCTGGGGGGTTCAGTATGCTCATGCTCTTGGATTCAGAAATTTCACATCCCAGAGTTAGTCTAAAGAAGAAAATAAATGTGAGATGTGGACAGATTTTGTACAGCAGCATTCATGGAAATGTTATTCATAAGAACAAAATATTGGATAGGACCTAAATGTGTAACAATGGGGAATTACTTAAATTATGATACATTCATATGATGAAATGTTTTACAGCCATTGTTGTTGTTGTTGTTGTTAAGTGCCATCAAGTCGGACTCGACTCATAGCAACCCCTCCTTGGGTTTCTGAGGCAGTATCACTACGGAAGTACATTGCCCCATCTTCCTTCCGAGGAATGGCTGGTGGGTTTGAACCGCCAGTCAAGTGCCTTAGCCACTATGCTACCAGAGCTCCCTTACAGCCATTAAGAATCATGATATCAAAGAATCATTAACAAAACATTTTTGAAGTTGTATGTTCAGTTAAAAAACACAAAGTTGTACATAAGGAATGAACTAAGTGTGGGGATATGTTTGTTGTGTAGGAAAATATACCAAAAATGTTACTTATTATCCTTAGGTGGTAGGAGTACAAATGATTTTTATTTTCTTTTTACATTATCTGTTTTCCAAATGTCTTCAATGAGCATTTATTCCATTTATAATTAAGCAAAACTAACATAGATTTTGTTAGTTTTTCACAAGAAGAGTTGCCTGTGAAGGAGAGGAGGGAATATGGGCAGAGCTCAAGGGGGACTGTCTTAGGAGAAGAGTTTTGTTGCTATTTTCCAGTGAAGGGCTTGAGCATGGCATTATGTCAGTAGAGAAGGAGAGGCCAAATGTACAGCAAGGACAGAAAAGCCTTCCTGGGTAGATAAGAGAGCATCCAGAGCCCATAAAATAGTTAACTTTCAACAGAGAAGGGCACTTGTGTGATTGACGAGAAGGAAAGAGGAAGGAGTGGCACTGCCTTGTTAACATCATACTCTGAGCACCTATGACAGTGCCTGGCATCTAAGTCTATGGGAAAGGGAGAGGGAAGTTGGAAGAATTGCTCTAGGTTGACTCTCATTTTCTCCAGGAAGTAAGGGAGCCACTGTCTAGAGCAGCGTTCTCAAACTTTTACCATGACTTATTAGAATTATTTTTTGTGGATCTGTGTCCTTCTCTAAACTGTGAGCTCTCTGAGGGCAGACACCATGCCTTATTTATCTGCATATCCCCCACCCCTATTCCAGTGATTGATGCAAAGTAGATACTCAAGGAATGTCCATTGAAGAATCAACAAATGAATATATGAAAGAATGAATGAAATGTGATAGGAGAGTGATGAGGGTTTGGTGCAGTTTATGTGGGGATTAGAGGGAGCTGACCAAGGCCAAATAAAAGGGTTTGGGCAGCCTAAGGACACAGTTGAGAGAAAACCTCTGTACTTAAGAGCATTCCAATAGAAGCTTTTGATGTTAAGAAAACTAATTATGATTACAGGTAGTCTTCTATCCCTGTCCAGTTGTTCCCTCCATCCGGGAAAATTCTTGAACTCAACCCATAGGCGTCCCTTATGGGCCCAGATGAAAGGATAAGGACCCACCTGGCCCAGAGTCTTCCAACTCCCAAAATGTGGTTTTCCCAAGTCCTTAGTTTGATTTGACCCTGTACAGACTTTTTTATTTCTTAATGGGGAATACCTACCTTATATAATAAATTAGATCAAGTATGTAGAGAGACTTTTAAACTGTATAGAGGTATGCCCCTATAGAGAGCTTGATCTTTATCTTTAAGGCAAAGGTGAGCCACCATAGGTTAGAAGTACCTGGGATAATGGTGGGGAGGAAAGGTTGAAGGAAGGCA